CTAAAAAAAGTAAGTCTAGTTAAAGAAAATTTCAAATAATAGAACAGCCGGCCCTGGGATGCTGCAAACTCTCCCGTGTTCCAGGGGGGCCTGTGTCTACCTCACGTGTGTCTCAGAGCCCGTCCCAGCCCCTGAGGCCACCCAAGGATCGACCCTGGCAGGGTCCACCGGTCCACGGGCCCTCTGACCAGAGGATACATGTGACTTGGCTCCCGTGTGCTTCTTCAGAACTCTCCTCTCTGCTGGTGAAGGCCAGCGAAGACCCCGCTGGTCTCTGAGGTCTCCCAAACCCAGGGGTTTTCCCAATGGTTCTGAACACGTGTTGAGATTTGAGGCCACGTCTTGACTTCTATGCCCTGGGACCAGGCCCCTTTGGGCATTTGAGTGACACTGCGGAGTGGCAGCTCCGGGAGGTGCGTCAAATGCATGTAGGGGAAGGAAAACGCCTAGACAGCCCTCCCCAAACGGCCTTGCACAATTAGAGAACAGGACAAGCCGTCCCTCCTCGGTGGCGCGTCCCGCACCGACTCCCTCTAGCAGACCCTAATTAGGAAGGACGGCTGCTTTCCGCCCCGGGACTGGAAGAAAGCCTGGAAATTTTCTTCGTCGCGAAGTCTCCAGCCCCAAGAACCATCGGAACCGCCGCGCGGATGAGCAGAAAATAGCAGATGATAAATTTTTTAGGACCCCCCTCTGCGTGCCAGTTGTCGCAGACTGTGAGATAATGTGCTGGCCTTTTTGGGAACATGCATTATTGATCTGGGTCTGTCTAGTGAGTTATAAAAAGCCCCCCTCCCCCGGCCCCCAATGCCGCCTTCCCAGCCCTCACTTCCTGGAGGAAGGCAGCCTCCTTCAGAAGCCAGTCCTGCCACTGGAGGGGCCGGCTCTTGAGCGGAAGGGAGGATAAGCAGGCACCGATCTATGCAAGTTAGCGCTTCGAGGTGGGAGCTGACAGATGCCACGGAAAACCAGGGCTCTAAACCTACCATCCACCGTATCCACTTCCTGAAATTTATCTTTCTATCTTCGGGTGTGCAAAGACGTGTGTATAAAGACTCTTCTGGCAGTGGTATTTGTACTGGTGAAAAAACACACTAACAATCTATAATAATAATAAAGGCATAATATGCTAATTAGACATCTTTCCGGACGACCTTCTGGAAGAAACCGGAGCTTCGAGGTCTGAGCCCCTTGTAGGAATTTCGTGCACGTAGCCTCTAGCCTAGAAATAACAGCCATCCCAGGAGACTGATTAAGCAGAGCAGTGGTTAAGACCATGGGCTCTGAGTTCAAATCCTGCTTAGCCATGCTCTTATTGTGTGCTCTTGGATAAGAAACTTCAATTCTCTGTGCCTCTGTCCCTCTAGCTATAAAACAAAGAGAATGAGTCCATGCATTCGAGTAAGCCATGGTTTTCTCTCCTCTCCTCTCTCTCATGTCCTCATCACACTCCCATTTCCTATATTTGCACATCCCATTGATTTTGAGAGTCACAGAGGCTGACTTACAATCAGGTTCGGGCATGAGGTTCAGGTTAGAGCATGTCGCTGCAGCAAAAATGTGTTGTTCCTAAAATTCACTCACTCACCCTGGTTCAGGCCAAAAACTTAGAAGTCATCTCGAAGCCATCTTTTCCTGAACCCCCGACCACTAACCTATCCATCACTGTCCCGCCCCTCCTTCTGCTCTGCTCCGATCCCAGCTTCCATCCTCACCTGCCCAGTCACTGCACCGGCCCCAATGGGTGTCCCCATCTCTGCTCTTATTCTCTGCGACCTAATTTCAACATCGAGTCAGAGGGATCCTGTTGGAACCTAAGGTAGATCATGGACCTCCCCTGCTTAAGGTCCCTGATCCATGTCTGTTTTTAATTTTTTTTTTTTTACATCTTTTAAAAATATATATTTTATTGATTTCAGAGAGGACGGGAGAGAGAGAGATAGAAACATCAATGATGCGAGAGAATCATTGATTGGCTGCCTCCTGCACGCCCCCTACTGGGGATCGAGTCCACAATCCAGGCATGTGCCCTTGGCCAGAATCGAACCTGGGACCTTTCAGTCCGCAGGCTGACACTATCCATTGAGCTAAACCAGCTAGGGCTGATCCAGGTCTGTTTCACTAAGAATAAAACTCAAAACGTTCACCCTGCCCACAAGGTGCCTGCAACCTGGTCCCATCGACTCCTGACCTCATGTCTCTCCATTTAGACATACCCCAGCTAGCTCCACTACCACCCACAACATTCCTTCTGTCCCTACCCACCCAGCTCATTCCTAACACTGTATCTTCGCCTTTTCCATTCTCTCTGCCTGCAACGGTCCTTCCCCAGCCCCGGGCTCCCAGGACAGTGCACTGCACAGCAGATGCTTAATACAGACCTGCTGAGTGCATGAAAGAGCGTCCAGGGCCCCGAATTCCCACACAACTAGGACCAAGTCACCCGAGGAAGCCCCTGAGGGAAGACCCAGGTGCTCTGAAGCCCAGGTGCTACCTGCACACGCTCTCTGCAAAATTCTGCTGGAAATAGCACTCACTCCCCTATGGCTGAGTCTGCAGATGCCTGTGGTGATCAGCCACGAGGCATGCTAAATGGTGCCGGGAGATAGGGATCATGTCTGTCAATCTGTCAATAAGAGCTCCAGGCTCCGATTACTTCCTGGCGGCACTGATAAGCTCTCTGTGAAAAATCTATACTTGTGATCATTAATACAAATCATTACAAGGAGTGACTTGGATTTATATAAATCACCCTTTCTTGGCAGTTAAAGGACGGATTCATGTTTTTAATAACCGACCCCTTTAAAAAGGGTGCAGATTTGCAGCTGGATCTTCACCACAATCTTACAGTCAGTTGCAAAGGCTTGTCCAGTGACATTGGGTTGTCCTTTGGGAGTGGGCAAAGGCTAAAGGCCAAACCCTCACCTGGTCAACTACCGGCACTCCTTACCACCACCTGGGAGAGCCTCCGAGACCTGGCTCTATCCTCGCTCTCCAATCTCATTTCTTTCACCCCTTTCCCGGGCTCCAGCCACATCTGTCTCCTTGGCCCTGCCTCAGGGCCTTTGCACATGATGTTTCCTCTGCTTATAATGCACCCCAGCCCCACCAGATGTTTACAATACACAATGGTATCGATGATGAGAAGGAAAATCTAACTTACAGGAGAAGGAAAATGGGCAAGGCTTGTGCACTGTCCAGAACGGCTGCCATAAGCCACAGATGGCTCTGGGCACCTGAAAGTCCTAACTGAGATATGTTCTAAGTGTTAAAACAATATGAAAAATGTAAAATACCTCATTAATTTTTTTTTCTATTGAAGAAAATTTCTACTGATTCTCCATGATTTAACAGTGGGTTAAATCATTAAAATTAATTTCACCAGTTTCTTTTTTTACTTTCCAAAAAAAATGTAACCATTAGAAAATTTCAAATTACTTATGTTATCTGCATTTTCGGGTGGCATTATAATTTCACAGGGCAGCGCTGGTGTAGGATTTACTGTAGAGAAATGGGACCGAGAAAAGCAGGGAGAAGACACGAGATAAGGAGAAAGGTCTCCCGGTAGGAGAGCCTCAGAGGTGACCTGCAGACAGAAATGGAGCCGGAGCCGGGGAGGAGGAAGTCCAGGGGAGACTCTCTGGAGGCCTCGCTCTCGCTCTCTCCTCTTGTTGGCCTCATTTACGGGGTCTCTCTCCCATGCAAATGAAGGCACCCACAGCTTGGGTGGAAGAGCCCAAGTCTTGTTTAGGAGGGCAGGGGGGGTGGTCTATACAACGAACCAAAGGCCGGCCCAGGAGTGGCTGGTGTGAGGAATAAAGGGGAGGTGTGGAGGCCTTGAGCTGGAGAAGCCCTTGGGCACAGCCCCAGCCGGGCCAGCCACACGTGTAAATGTTCCCAACGAGGCAAGGGCCCCTGTCCTCACCGCTTACCCGGAGCCCACAGTGCTGCATGGGAGGGAGCTCAGGACCAGAGGCGGCCCAGCTCGCCCTCCTGAGACAATCTCTCTGTGAGCCGGGTTGGGTCGCTGCCCATAGGGAGGGAACGCTGAGCCCACCCACGGCTGCTGACGTGGGGGGAGCAGGGGTCACACATGTATGTATGCGTGTATTCACATGCACGGGAGGGTGCTTCCTTCTTCTGTTCAGGGTCAGCACAAACATCACCACCTCGGAGAGCCCTTCCCAGTTACCAATCTAAAGCAGTCCAACCACGGTCCCAATAGGCACAGCGCCCCCCTTCAGTTTCAACGGAGCACTGCTCCTTCTTGAAGTTATTTAATTAACTAATTAACTAATTAATTTCCTAAGCCCTGGCTTTGACCCTGGCCTGAGCGCTGGGCACAGAAGCTCCAGCAGGAGAGCAGGTGTGACAGGACAGAGCCTCGCCTCCGCCGGGAAGGCCCACAATGACACGGGCTCCAATGGGTTTCTGTCCCTCTTCCCAGCAATGGAGCCCCCTTCAGTCTCTTCATTTCGAAATACTGTAAAACGGCTACTACGACAACACACACAGGCTTATCTAAGGAAATAGTGCGTGTGAAGTGGCTTTACAAAATATCCAGCACCGTAAGACCCAAGGAACCACGGCCACCGCTTTATTTTACATGTGAGCCTGCAGTGGCCCTGATGATCTGTCTCCTTCCCTCCGAGAGAGCGGGCACTGTGCCTCCCTCACGCACTCCTGAAGCTCCAGGCCCTGGGGTCATGCCTGGCACATGGCAGGTCCTCAACAGAAATCAGAGGAAAATACGAACTGGTCTTAACATGGCTTCTTCAGAAGGGTGTGGAGGAACCCAGGAAGGGGTCTGCATTAGGAAAAGGCTGGAGACCCCTCCCCTTGCGAGTCCACAGGGGTGGGCCACCCCTGTGACTTGGTTAAGCCCATTACAAGGGCCCTCTACAGCGGGACATGAGCACCTTGCGCCGGGAGTCTCAGCCCAGCAGATGGCCCTGGGGCGCCGGGCAGGTGCCGCCCGCCGCCGCCGGCCGGGTGCTTACCGAGCTCCACGTCCTGGTCGTCTGTGAGCACCAGGATGATGTTGGGGCGGATGTTCCGGCGGTCCCTCTGGAACCGGCCTTTCAGGCGGTGGTGCGACAGGAAGGAGGAGCTCCCGCCCAGCAGGGGGAGGACGGCGGCGGAGAGCAGGCACAGCAGGAGGCCGGGGCGGGCCATCGTATGTCTCTGCTGGTCTGTGGCTTCTCGAAGGGGGCGGGAATCTGGAGCAGCGCCTGGCAGACTTGCTTCTTTGCCCTCTTCCCCCTCGGCTCACGGATCTGAAGGAGCAGGAAGAGAAGCAGGTCAGTTTTGCTGTACGGCTGCGGCCGCTCAGGCTTGCATAACGAGGCGCACGATGGCCTCGGGCATGGACAAGGACAGTTTATCTGATCGGGGCAGCTCTGGCCGAGCAAACATCTAATGCAGCTCCAGCCACAAGGAACGTTATTTGCAATTTGCTCAGGCAACAGGCCGGTGGGGGAGCCTGCAGGGACCATTTCTGCAGCCAGAACTGTCCCCTGGGCCCGCGGGTGGCCGGGTGTGCTGGTGGCAGTTCCAGCCCCACATCCGACGGCCAGCCGGTCACACTGAACCACACAACCACTTCCACAGACAGAGCAGTTTCAGAGGAAGGAAGGAAGCAGCCCGCTTGCGGGGAGCAGATAGTTCTGACCATCCCTCCTCGGAGGGCAGATGGAGGGGGCTGTGGCCGGCTCCCCAGCAGCCGGAGGCTCAGAGAGAGGCCGGGACAGCAGGCCGAGATGCTGGGCGGGACGACTCCCCATGCCGCAGCCCCGACTCCATCACTCGGCAGCTCGGCTTCCCCGTCAGGAAGCCGGTGGGGAGCGGGGAAGACACGGCTGTTATTGGAACCCGATGCAGGCGGGCTGTGTGCGGAGGCCCCCTGCCAACACCAGAGCTGGGCAAGCTATTCCTATTAGTTTTTGGTGGTAGGATAAACAGAATGACAGAAGAGCTGTCACATTCCACTGTGACCTCAGTCACCCCCCCCATCCCACCACACCCCAGATCAGGTCACACGCAAAGCTGGGGGCCGGGTGGTGGGAGGGCGAGGTTGGCTCAGGCAGGTCTCTGCGGTCATTTTTCTATTTCTTGAGGAAATGAGCCTTCAAGTCCTGTCCAGATAGAGACTTTCGGTCTCATTTATTTAGGGAGAGTGAGTGAGTGTGTGTGTGCGTGTGTGTGTGTGTGTGTGTGTGTGTGTGTGTGTGAGAGAGAGAGAGAGAGAGAGAGCGCAAACGAGTGTGTGTGTGTGTGTGAGAGAGAGAGAGCAAACAGACGTGTTGAGAGGAAACAGAGAGAGAGAGAGAGAGAGAGAGAGAGAGAGAGAGAGAGTGTGTGTGTGAGAGAGAGCGCGCGAGCGAGCACGCAAACAGACATGTTGAGAGGAAACCACTCTTGATGGAGTCAGGCTGAGTCACTGCCCTTGTGACCTCGAAGGACCATGGGGAACCCCATCCCAAAGCCCAGGCTCAGGGAGCCTGGCAAGGGCCCTGGTTCCGCAGGGTGGAATGCTGCCTTCGTTTCTCCTCGGGACTACCAACGCCTCTTAAGGGGTGTCCTCCCTGTCCCCACCCTCGGCCCCCTTCCGTTATCTCCGGGACAGACAGTGTGAATCTCTGAAAACTGGAATCGGGTCTTACCACTCAGTGAGGCACTCGTGGACAAAACTGAAGGGGCACCCACGCCAGGGTGCACAAGTGCAAGGCACTCATCTCACCTGTGACCCTGTCACTTTCTTGCTCACACCCCCCCCTGGCTTCTCAGGGCTCAGGCCATAAAACGCAAACTCCCCACCAGGGTTACCGGGGCCCATGTGACCCGGCCCCTGCCCACTTCTCTGCCTTCGTCTCAATTGCTCTCCGGCCCCACTGGCTTCTCTCTGTTGTTGGGACAAGTCAAGCTTGTTCCTGCCCCAGGGCCTTTGCACTTGCTCTTCCTGAAACCTGGAAGAGTCTTCCCCCAGGTTTTGTACGATGGGTTCATTCACCTCTGACGAGTCTTGGCACAAATGTCACCTTCTCAGAGAGGTTGCACTGATCCAAAGTGGTGCCTGCCCCCGCCTGAGGCATCCTCTGTACTGTATAACCTGTTTTATTCCCCCAAATCCCTACAACAACCAGCAACTGCCTTTTTTATTGCCCATTACCGCCCCTCCCGCACCCCCCCCCCCACTCCCCCCCATCCGTCCCCACTCCCATGGAGCTGGGAATGGGTGCAGGGCACCCGGGTTGATCTTCTTAGCAACCCCTGCCCCCCTTTCTGGGCAGCAAGAGCCCACCCGTCAGGATGCTCCCGCTTGGATGGGAGTCAAAGCTCTGCGACCAGAGAACAGGAGCGGATTATTTCATCAGAGCAAGTCGTCAATGGGCCGATTTTTGATGAATTCCCCGGCTCCGACTTCCCCTGGCCGTGTGCCCATCTCTCTCTCTCTTCAGATGTCGAAGGAATCAATGAAAAGTGACACAAGGGATTCTGCCTCCATTTTTCTCCTTCCGAGTAAAAGATCCGTCTCACGGACACCCCCTCTCATCCCACCAGCCTGTGGGAGGCAGGGTCCATCCAGCCCCTCCCCTTCCCTTCCCCGGGGGTTTTCTCACAGAAAACCTTCTGCCCGGACCGGGATGCCATCTCCGGAAATGCCTAACGCCCCAAGAGTTCGGAAACATCGCCCCGCTTCTGGATCTATCTGCCTGTCTGCAGACAGGAGCAGGTCTGAGGGTGACCGACAACCCACAGCCCTGCATACCACAGCTTTGGGGGACAGCTGGGAGCTTCCCCAGGGCTGCTCAGAAAGACTCAGAGAGCTGTTTTCCTTTGAGGACCCCGGAATCCAACCGGACTAGTCAGGAGGAGGTTGGAGATGACCAGGAAGCTGAGGGGGTGGGAGAGGAAGTGACCAGAGGCAGAACAAGGCATTGGCAGGCGAACTCGCCCGGGAGGTGGGAAGAAAGGAACGTGAGGGCTGTGCAGAGACGCCTTGTACAGACGGAGAGACCCTCCTCGGTGGTCCAGACAGGTCTTCCTTCATTTACGTTAGAAATATTGGTTTAGGGCCAAACATGCTTGAGGCACAGGGTCAGGTCGTAGGATAATCCTGGCGGGGTTATTACAGCCTCCTAACTGGTTTCCCTGCTTCCACTCTCATCGCCTCCCATCCAGCAGCCAGAAGGAACTGCCTGTTAAAAGAGGCCGTCTTCCTCCCCTGCAAAGCCTTCCAGGGCTTCCATCTTGTGCAGAATAAGCCCCTCAGACCCTCCAGAAGGTGTACAAGATTATACACAGCTGGCTCCATCCCCTCTCTGACTTTATCACCTTTTCCTTTCCCCCCTGCCTACTCAGCACTAGCCACACATGGCCTCCATGATGTTCCTCAAAACATGCCCCCTCAGGGCCTTTGCACGTGCCGCTCCCGGCGCTGCCCAGAGCCCTCACCCAGGTGTCTCCATGGCCCCTTCCTCACCTCCTTGAGGTGAAAACTGAAATCTTTTCCCTCCCCAGGAGCATTAGTAACTTCTGATTAAATATTTTATTTCTTTCTGGCTTTCCTAGACTAAAGCATTAGCTTCCTAAGGGCAGAGATTTTTGTCCATTTTGTTTACATCTGGTTCCTGTATCACCAATACCTAGAGCAGTGCTTAAGATAGCAGATACTCAAGATATTTACTGACTCAGCAAACATTTTCTCCCTCCTGGTTACGGTACTCCAGTTGTGATTGGGGGCATTGCCGCCCCCTTATTCTGATAATGTACAGTTTGAATGTAGGGTGGATCCAATCAGCACATTCCATCTTTCTAGCTCCCACGATTGGCCCAGAGATAGACATGTGACCAAGGTCTGACCAACCAGAGGGAGGGAAGAAATTACAGAGTGGGCTGCTGGGTGCTGACAAGGGGGCGAACGCAGCCTGGGTACCCACTGGAGCCTGAGAGGGGATGCTGGTGACACGAGGCTGAACCAAGTAGCCAGTCACAGACTGGAACAAGTGGCCTTTGTTGCTTCAGCTTGTCTGAGCTCGGGCTATCATTTGCAAAAGGAAGCATCCAGACTTACACAATCAACTCCCAAATATATTGGTGATGAAGAAAAACTAAAATTTACGGTGTGTTTTTCTTGGGCTCTGCCCTGTTTTCAGCGCTTTTCCAGGGCTAACTCACCACCCTCACAACAACATTATGAGTAGCAGGTGAGCAGGTGGAGGTGTGGAGCGGGCCAGGAACGGGCCCAAGGTCGCACTGTGGTAGGCAGTGAGACAGACACGAGCAGAGCAAGGACCAGGGGCCAGATACAGGTCACCAGGCCCGAAAGCCCTGGGTGTCTAGCGAAGGACAATCAGCTGGTCGGGTGGAAACTTGCCCCCAGGTGACCTTCCTTCCCCTAGTACATCATATGGACGGTCATGAGGCTTGGACCCCTGACCTTTCCTCCCTGGAGATAACATATAGGCCTTGGCTGTAGTTCAGCTCCAGGCCCAGATAAGCAGCAAAACCAGACAAGAGACACCGAGGCTGACCTCAGCACCAGCTGCACTGGACAATGACCCCTGCCCTGGTGCCGACCAGTCCGTCAGGGGAGACCTAAACGGTAAAAGGATACAGCTGGAAAGCTGCTGAATAGTCTACCGAGATCTTCTCCTGGGCCCTCCCCTAAAATCTCCGCCCTTAAACCCTCAGAAGGGAAGACCCAGCTTGCCCTCCTTCCTGGGATAGCGCAAAGCCTCTCTCTCCCCTCCAGCCCTCCCTGTCCCTCCCACCCTCCAAGCGTGTCTCCTTTGTCTTCCTCACTTCGCAGCTCCAAGGGCCCTTCCTTAGCTGCTGCAACTTGTTTCCTAAGTTCATTTTTTCTCCAAATTACTTCTTCCACCTCTGTGATTTTATAAATAAACTGGGGGCCCGATGCATGAATTTGTGCACGGGTGGGGTCCCTCGGCCTGGCTGGCGATTGGGGTGATTGGAACAGGCCAGCTGCAGGGGGGGAGGGGCAGAGGGGGCCGAGGGAGGTTGGCCAGCTGCAGAAAGGTGGCTGTGGGAGTGACCTGACCACCAGGGGCAGCTCCTGCATTGAGCATGTGCCTCCTGGCGGTCAGTGCATGTCATACTACCAGCTGGTTGTCCAGTTGTAATGGTCACTTAGGCATATATATATGTGTGTGTAT